TAAGTATGTCATTTTCAGTTTCAGCATATTTGACGAGTCTGTTTTATTCTCAAAGTACTTACTAATTTGTAGCGTCAGTTCAAAAATCCTTTTCAATTTGTTTATTATATTTTCTTATATATAATTAAATGGTATACGAAAACACATAAGAGAGTTCTGATTTTAACATTGTTTAATGCACACGCCCCAAAAAAGTACTATGTAGCTGATATAAAAAAACAGCTTTTTAATCACCTGAAAATTGAAAGAAACCATGTGAACGGGCCATAAAAGCTAGTAAATATTAAATTAGGAATTCATTCTATTTCTGCAGTTAATTAAAAATATTTATTTTACACAATCACTAATCGTAATTTCATGATTAATTTTAATATTATTAAAAATTTTTTAATTACAATAAACAGTAAAAATATAAGTAAAATGTACGTTTTTTTACTTTTGACATTGTCAACATATTCTACACTCTTAGTAATATTTTTAAATTACTAATGAAATTTGATATTATTTTAGTTATTATAAATACTAATCAATATTATAACTTACTTTTTAATAAAATATTATTTTTCTTGCGTAGTCCTAACACAGTATAGGCTTCGCATCAACTTTATATACATAGATTAGATTTTGCCATGAAAATTTATATACGTGTACAAAAAGTTCGTTTCCGTGACGGTCAAAATTCAACAATTCAGCTAGAAATCATCGACATTATTTTTTATAAAAACTCATTTACAAATAATAGCACTAATGCTTTTGCGATGAACGAAAATCTAAGTACTAAAATGTATTACAAGGAAATGATGCCATGATTAAGCTTAAGTCAACAGGTTAACGCCATCGCAACAACCCTTTTGATTGTTGTTGAACATTCTATTTCACCTTAATGTTCTCAAAGTGTATACACTCATCTTTTTTGACGGTGGTCTGTACAATTTTTATTGTGATTAAATCGGCCACGACTTACACAGACTATTAAAGGTGTCGGTAAAAGGTATGGCTTTACTGGTCGGCTAAATTGTGTTATTTCGAGTTCCTTTCATCCATTCGGTCACACTGGCCAAGCTGATCGCAGTAAAGGCAATATTATTACAACTTAAATTCAAAACACGGACAATTTTCTACGGAGAGAGGTGGTAACGACAATAAAAATACTCTTCAAGAGAGGTCCAACCGTTGTGAATGAGTAGAGGAGTAGGGTAGTTATTTAGAGGGTTACAAGCGATTTAACACGATTTCCGGCTTTTATATCACATTAAATAACGATTATCTTGTGAATTTTATTACTCGAGAGCGACACGATTGTTAATTCGTTTTTTTTTTTATCCCTTGCAGTATTAGAATCTCTGCGAAACCGTCTGCATGGATAGTTTGTTTTGTTATGTATAATATGTTCCTATTAGGTTTACTTAGTCATGTCTCCAATGTACTGATCAATTTTAATAGTACCGATTTTATAAAGAATATTACAACTGTATAATTACTACTATTTTTTGAATATTGTGTAATTAATTTTGAAGCAATACTATTAAATTCACTATTAAATCGTGAAATAAAAAATTATGTGTTATATTTGATGGTTTTAATAGGGACATTTTCTCATGTACAAAAAATAATTAATGACCATTCAATAAAGTGTGACATAATCAGACGAGTTTTACATCTTACAATAAGTAAATAAGCGAATCGACGTATTGTTTTATGTTATTTATTCATTCGTTTATTTGATATTCCGAAGAACGCAAATTGTTGGACTTGGTGTGTTTTGCGAATGAGATCAACGTGATTCTCCTTAAATGATTAGAGCAATAAATTTCGGTCATAAATCTTTTGTTTAAAATAACACATCTATTCTGTTCATTTATTGTCACTGTATAAAATCTCAAATTCCGTTGCAGTCCCCCCGAGACGACGTGAAGGTGCGCGGTGTAACCAACAACTCTTTGGAAACCGACGATAACTAGATTATGCAAATGCGATTCTTGCCGAAGAGAAACATGAGAAGTGATGGTGCTTTGTATGGATTAAGCCTTCTCAACACGCGGATACGCGTGCGCATTGCAGAGGAGAGAAGAGTGTGAGAAAATGAATGTGCGATCTGGCGTGGAGTCTGTGTACGGTTTATAAATGGTGGGCGGTAGAAATAGAGATACCTACGACGTTCGTTGTGTTTTACTGTTTTGCATAAGAAGGTTGAAGACATAACCGTCGTCGACGTCTACAATCGTTACGGTAGTGTAACATCATTATTTCATAAATTAAACCATTACATGACGCCTTCGGTTTTCTCATAGAGGTAGCAAGAGACACTGTGGAAGTGTGGTGAAGCTTTAACCGTCATAGCCCAACTTTGAATTGCGGCCCATTATTATTCAAAGACCTGGCAAACAAACGCGATATAACACCTTAATCTCAGTACCACTTCTCTTAACTCGTCCAGATTATTCGTCTTGACTCGTTACTTACCTTGTCCGCGTTCCAATCACGTGAGTAACCTAACACAACCTGGTTAGGGTGACATACCGAAATGAAGGCACGTCCGTGTATATTTACGCTTCCGCTTTAGTTGACAGAAAACATTACGTAGTGGCGAATATGACTTAACCACTTGTTTCGATCACATTACGTTAATTATAAATTCAAACACTCGACGATTATTTTATCAAGTTAACAACATTAAAGAGTAGGAAAATGAGCTAAAAAATTATAACTATTTAAACTTTGCTCGTAAAATTCATTATATCTTTCATCGCCATCTATATTTATCATAAAATATAGTTTAAAACAAATTAAGACATATTTCCAATTAATAATTTCATTCGTGAAAAATCATAATTATAAGATATTATCAAAACTTAATTTTTATAAGTTCTCGGCCACTAAGGCCAAAAATTTAGATAATAATAAATAGCTGATATTATAATATTTGACCATATAATAGAAAATGTACGTCGTTCATAACTGTATTAAATTAAGTCTTATTTAATGAGCTATAAAAATAGAAAAAGAAAAACTTTTTAAATAATTTTTGCATTCTATAAATGGATCGAATGCTTAAGTATAAAATCATAAAATTTTTGGTGGATATGACTATTTCTTAGATTTATGCAAAGCTGATAAGGTAATGTTTTTTATTATTATTTATTTTTGGTATGGGGTTCTTAATAAAAATTCTCTGTTGATACTAGATTTTTGACAAGTTCTTCGGAACTCAGCATCTTTTTAATTTATATCAAATTTTAAAGATTTTAAAGAAAACTATAATGTTAAAAAATATCTTGCGATTATTTGTACAAAAAAAATTATACGTAAAATCTGAAACACGGCAAATACAAAATTAACAAAATATTTATACTATAATTTTTTTTTCTTTTCAAATTTCGATAATTCTTCAAAAAACCTTCACCTTTAACTTTTTATCAATTTAAATCTTAAACAATATTCTTAAAAAATTTTAGTTCTACAAAAATTGAGTTGACCGCTTAAGTTTCATAAAATTTACTGATTCACTAATACCAGTTTATCTTCAAACACACTCATTGAAGCGTTTTATGTCAGTGATTTTAATCGCAGTCTAATATCAAATCCAGATTAGTTTTTGATATGTCTAATTTCCACTACATTAGACTGTACTCATTTTTTCAAACTCTTTAATTGAATTTTAATAGGATTACACGTCGTTGCAGTGAACTATATTTGATATAGTTTTTTAATTAAATTAACAACACGAAGTCACTTATAGAATACATTAAAATTTAAAGTACTTCATTTCATGAAATTATAAGTTGTAGCCGTTTCAAAGCAAAAATATGGGGATAAATAAAAAAATGATTAAGTATATGTTTAGCGTTGATAATGGTAACATTGTACAAATATATTACAATCCCATAATTGTTTCCGAAATACGTATCTGCGACTTTTCAGTAATTTTTTTGTGGCTTTTGAATTTAATATTTTAAATTAATAATATTTTTAATATAGTTTTAATTTTTAGTTATTATATAACCACTGATTAATTATTTAAATTTATGAGATGTTTTTTTTTTTGGGTGTCTTTGTATGGGATGATTGATTTATTATGTATTTACCAATAATCCATTTAGATTAGATATAAATATTAAAGTCAAGCCATTTAGATGAGATAAATTTATTTGGGTATAAAATTATCTAAGTAATAGATAAAATGATTTGTATTTTATCTAAATAGTATGCAGAAAATTACTTTTTTACATTAATTAATAATTTTATTAACATTTTCCCTCCCTGCCATTCATTCTAAATGAGTTTCTATTTTGTTGGCGACAATATAGAGACAATTTTCCATCCCAATATACGTTAGTAAAGCATTTTAAATCTTCACTATTATTACAAAAATTATTAACCAGTGATATATACTATGTATTAACGTTATAAAGAAAATGTTAACCATTTTTATCTACAATGTTATTTATTATGAACACTATTCCCATTTTTTTTTTAAATAATGATTACTTTATTAAAATGAAGAAAGTTAAATTTGATTTATTTTTATAAATCATAGTAAATATCAAGTTTATTTTAAGAAACAATGATTTCTGAAAGTAGATTTTAGAGGAAAAATGAGAATCTATAATTAACTTCTTAATTTTAAATGGGAAATAGATTACATTAAATCTTGACCAGTCGATAATTAGTTTTATAACATTACTTTTTAAGTTGACATAATTTTAAGTTTACCACGAAAGTGGTGTGCAACGTAGAAGAATTCTTGTATGTGAATTAAAATGGAGTTTTGCTAAACACTTCTCACATCTTCTGAATCTTAAGATTTTAATGTCTCAAAAATTACTGATAGTGAAGTGTATTTCATAGCAACGATATATCTACATAATTTAAAACTAAATAAAATTTAAGGTTGTTATTGTGTATAAAACGATTGTAAAAAGAAAAACGTTTGACGACTTGTCCTCTATGAGTAATTGGTCCCTTAAATTAAAAGTCATGTAATTTTTGGTAAATGTGATACATTTTTTTAAAATTTGTTTCAAGTATACATCGAAGCATTTTACAACAATGATTTTAATCATTAACAATATCAATCAATACTAATCCAAAAAATTTCGTCAACTCTATTATGCCGAACCAGACTTTACTTAACCATTTTAATTTGGATAGTTTTATTTAAACTGGTATTGATGCAATGGCAATGTTATTGTTCATTATTTTGATAAAATTACACTACTTACTTAAAGGGACTTCAAAATATATTAATAAAATAAAAAAAACCGTTTCATTATCTTGTATTATTAGTTATACAACTCTTTATGCTTAACTGTTTTGTGTGCAAACAGCATCACAGTACAATAGTCCAGCCTTTATAACATGAATATAATATACAAAATAGATATTATACAACGAACACTATGATATATTTTTCTTTATTGATTCATCTAAAAAAGACAGTAATATTAGTTAAAATTATACACATTTGAGTATATTACCATAAGACATTTATGATTTATCAATATGTCCTATATAAAAGTATACGAAATATGATAAAATGATTTTTAGAAAATATCAATAAATCACAAATACTGTTGAACATCTCATTACTCGTATGTACTCACCTATGTTAGATGACGTTTAAATAACATTTATAAAATCATTTGGGTAAGATGAAAGATAATATCATTTTTATCTAGATTTTCCTGACACTGCATGTAACTATTGTATAAAAAAAATTATATGATTAACTATGTAATTTAGTAGGATCTGTTCGCTATGAGCATGTGAAATTCATTAAACCTCGATGAACCACGTTACCATTTTTTTTTTCAAAAGGTTCATATTATTCAATATCCCTAAACGAGTCACCCACGCCGATTGCCCTATCTGTGCTACGTGATATATCAAAATGTAAATGAAAATCCTTGTTGAAATACCTTTAATATTGTGTACAAAACAAAAGTACATTAATGACTACTGTCCCTGTGTGCAACGAGCCTATACGAGAATTAGAATCCCGTTTCAATAACGGTCAATTGTATTAAAGTGCATAATTGATAATGCCATGCTCTCATGTACTTTTATTGTGTATTTCAGTCATTTTTGCAGACTGTTTTAATATTGAAATTCACGTTGAAGTAATTTACTTCGCTATATTCTGCATATATTTTAACGAACTTACTTATTACATGTATGCACATAATGATATTACTAAAAATGTATTTAATAGAATAATGTGTTATTTTGATTAGCGAAAATGGAATTATTTAAGAAGTTAACAAAGCATAAAACAATCGTTTACGCAGAATTAAGTATAACTCATCGTTAATACCTTTCGAGAGAGACTTTCGATCAAACACGTCTTTTCGCTTTTTTTCGTCTTTTGTTTTTTTAACCGTTCGTTGTTGTACGTAGGCCATACGGGTACCCTAAAATAAATGATTAGATGGATAATATCCACGGATACACTGTTTAACACTTTTTCTGTTACCTGTTAGCCGTATGCACTAGTGATTACTCCTCTAGAACTGTTCACAATGTACCAAAAACGGGTGACAAGCCTACCAAACACAACCGCATGTTTTTGCTACGATTACCGTAAACTTGTATGTGAAATGCGATTGTGTCGAGGGATAGCCGATCATAGTTGAATTATAATTAATTCTTGACCGCGAAATTAAAACGAGCTCTAGATTGGCCGCGTCCGAAAATAAACAGTCCAGTGCACGAAAAGACCGTATAGATGAAATAATATAATAATAATGTGTAAACTTGTGCTTGGAGAGGGTACGACTATTCAGTATGGGCAACCGCTGTGTCTTAAAATACATCCGAGCGCATTGACGCGACCGTTTGGTGCTGCAGATGCTGTGCCATAGTGTTTCTATTATAGCAAAATAAAAAACGCCTACGTACGCACGCAGATATTATGTACAGGCGAGTTAGACCAAAGAAAGCAACGGTGTCAATCGCCGGCAATTGACTGGAAAGTCGTTCTGCGGAAAACTCTCGACGGTTAAATAAAAAAAAAAATTCCAGTCTGTTCGGTTATCATTTATCCAGTTTAAATTGTTTCATTATACTAGTCTTACCTGTTTTTACTGGCCGGCGTCATGCGAGAAAAACTACTTTTATTAATTAGCTCATATAACAATGGTCGAAAAAACTTTGTACGCCGATTCAGTCGACTAGTGACTTAATATTTTCATTACTTAAAGCTATTTAGAACTTTTGCCGTTTTAAGAATTGCAAACGTGAGTATAAAATATTTTAATCGCTCAATTTACAGGGTTTATTTTTTGGAATTTTGTAAGAATTAATGGTTTTTAAATTTTGTTAGAAAATTATTTTACTAGAAACCAAAACTCACGATTTTCCTGTTTAATTTACAAACGCCTAGATAAATGGTAAATTAACTTTAGGCGAACAAAATTGAATAAAAACCTAATAAAATTTTTATGATTTTGAAAATTTTAAAAATTGTTATGAAATTATTAATTGCTATGATTATACTACTTTACAAAAGAGTATAATCCTAGTAATTCTATCATAGTATCACAGTAGTAAAACTTTTACATAAATTTAAAAGTTTTTATAATTTAATTGGTTTTTATGCTTAATTTCAATTAATTACTATCTATTTGTATTCTGTGAATTGTATTGATAAAAACATTAGTATAAGATACAAAAGCGATAGAATTTACATTTTTCTCAATAACACCGTCAAGTGGCTTGTTGTGTTAAATTGCCGGTTGAAAAGTCGTTTGTGATGAGATGGAAGATCATTTGCAAGAAAATGCAGCTGGTTTAAAAGTGGACAAAAAGAGAGAATGAAAAATGATTAGCTACGTGAATGAACTATGAAAGTAATAATTTTGAATATGTAAAGCAATTTATATGTAAAATAAGATGATATAATTTAGCCGGCCGCGATATTGGTTAATAAAAGTAATCTGAAGAGATGTTGCTGGTTGAGTTCGAATTAGAACACACTCCATTCTGTAAGTTATGTAGACATTTATAGGAAAAAATTTCCATTAAAAAACATATCACGAAAAAAATTTACAAATTACAAATCAAGTATAATATAGAACATAAGTTGAAGAAATAATAATAATAATAGTAACATATTACCTGTAATAAGTAGTTGTTAAATATTTCACGAAAACCTTTTTTTAATCAGTCATTTAGTATAAATGTGTTTTAAACGTGGTTCTGTGTATTTATTTAATGAAAATCGATTTCAACGAAAACTTAATTTAAATTTTCTCACAGGGAAAATATACGTACAAATTTTTTATCACTCTCTCTAAAGAATAAAACTATTACAACATAATTATGAACCATTAATGAAGTCTAACAACCTCTTTATAATGAAAACACATAGTTGTAACGAGAAAGTTATAGTAAGACTTTTCCATTTATCCTCCCCAGAAAACTAAGAATGATATGCATTGTTATATAAAAATTATTTTTTTGATTAATGAAAATTAAATTTTACTCCCCACACAAAAAAAAATATATATAAATTAAACCATTCTACAATTATGATGAAACCATGGATTTTTTTTTTAACTATTTTTAAATAAAATAAAAAAAACTTTATTAACATTCATCTTAAAATAACATCATTATTGTTTCAAATATTCGAAAAAACTATACAATTTACTACTTAAATACAGTTTTCTCTAAACATTGTGTAAATGAGATATCACTTTTATTTCGATAAATGATTTACAAATGGTGTGTTATTAATCAAACATAGTAATACTTATGAAATGGAATCATAATTAAATGATTGATTATAATCACAACGAGTGATGAGTTTATTAAAAGGAAAATAATTATAAAAGCCATTGTCATGATTATATCATTTTGAATGATCATTATACTTCGTCAAATAATAGTTTATTTTTAAACTCTACGTGAAGTTATGTTTTTGTAAAAAAAAATCCCTTGAAAAATTGTTCAGAATTCTGTAGTATTTAGAAGATAGTTTTTTTAATATCGAACAGTCTCGATAATTGAAATTCAGAAGAGTTTTGCAATTCATTCTCGTAGTCTGTTCAAAACTACAACAAAATAATAAAAACTTTTGTTCATCTTTCATTTACTTTGTATACAAAATTTGTATGGATAATGTTAGTTTAGCAATGTTGGTTTTTTGTTAAATAATTAAAAAAAAAGTTCATGTTTTTAATCATGTTTATTTTTAGAAATAATTTTTTCCATTACATCAAATTATACATTAAAATTATTTTTATAGTTTTATAACACCAAATGGACTTAAACACTAGTGCTAGTACTTTTCCCCATTATTAAAATTAACACTTTTAAACTAAATTTTATTTAGTTGTAAAAATTCTATCGTTAAAAAAAAGCTATTGGTTACTAAATTCTTTATAGAGTACAATATGATTTTATTTTTTATTAGAAATATAGTGAACTATTACAAAATTATCACAAGCGTGTAAAGCTATCTGATTTGAGATGTTGTAATAAATCAAATGAATTCATTTTTGTTCAGATCGCACAACATTCAACGTACTAACATTGCACCGTCACGTCTGATCCTTTAACACCATAAAATTATTGACATAACATAGTTAACGTTTAATCGAAGAATTTAATACAATTACAAAATATGTTAATACTCAGTACAACACACACACACACATTTCTGGGCACTACAAGCGCTAATGATTTTGGATTTTTTACCATCACTATATCATCTTAAATACTTGTCATTAAAGCTAAAATAGCCTATTCACATGTTTCACTATATAAATCGTATTTTTCATATCATGAAAAACAGTTATAGTTAAAATTAGTATCATCCAGACATTTTATTTTTCTATTTTAAAAGCAAAATCTTAAATAATTGTACAACTTTATAAGTAAAAAAAAAAAAAAAAAAGTTGTTCATTTGTATATTTATATTTATTTAATATTTTTTTACAAATAAAGTTTTTCGAAATTATTAATATTATATAAATCTTGTTAAAACGCCTCTAAATTAAAGTCGAGGTATTTGTAGTAATTTTAGTAATAAATCTAGAAAATTACAATAACAGAATAACGTCATTCTGAATAAACATTAATTGATAATGAATAATTATTAAAATTATTTTTATTATAGGTTCATTCGAGTAGTAGCGAACAGAATGTGTACAGAGCGGATTTCCGATCTAAAACTATGCCCAGGTAAATTCTAATTAGACTATATCAGAATTTTAATAATTAAACACAAACGAAAATATTTATAGAGTACAAATATAAGTATACCAGTATTTTTTGGTAAAAAAAAAAATGAAATTGAGTATTTGGTTCAGTTACGATTTAAAATTCGCAATATTAATTTACACGACGGACATTTGTGTTACGTATCATGAATTTATTTATTTAGGCTGCTTTATGGTAACCGACATTTTCTATAATCGGTAATTTTGTTTCGGTTTATTTCGATTGATCATTTGTTTGTTGAATACAAACTCGGCTTGAAATTTTACTGAAAAATACTCATAAAACTGTTTACTTTGCAATTTGCAAATACAACCTGATTTCCATGTAACCCAACGGGCCTTCAATGAAAACCGTTCTAATAACAAAAGTCAACACGTTTCTGAATTTAGTTTCGGTTGATGTAGTTCACGTACTTTAGCACATGAGACGTGCCTGTGTAAGGGACTTGTCTCTTGATAAGACAAAACCTTTTAAAACAATAATTCAATGTTGAAAAGTTTTTGTACTGTGTATGTTTTTAGAGGCGCAGTCATTATCTTTACTCCGATCGTGGATGGAAGTTTGGTAAAATGCGGGGAGGGAAGTAGTGGGGAAATGATCGAATTCGAGAATATTGGAAATATTTAAGTGCCATTATAAGCCATAAATATTTTCCAAAACGAACGTGTGAGCGCTCACTTATGTTTAGTATTCATTCAAAAGGCCGAGACAATATATTTAAACGAGCATTCACCCACGAACAATTATTGTGTTACGCCTCCCGTCGAAAACATCCTGGCCCGATATTAGTTTATACACAGTTTTGATTCTGTTCGTAGCCCAAAAAACAACGGGAAAATAATAGAAAACTTTTATTACGCGCGCGCGCTAATAAATAATACAAACTTATCGATATGTGCGCGTAGATCTTTGTATGGGAATAGTAAAGAGTACACGGTACTCCATCCAAGCAATTTACGCACGTTAAGAAGTTAATGACGACATTTTTAACGGTATGCGACAGCAGGTTTTACTTGGCCACAGTACTTACAACAGGTAAATAAAAACATGAATGTTCACTTTGAGACGCATTTACAGAGTACCTCATTGTCGCCATCCCATTTTCCCAGTGCATTGTATGGAAATAAAAAAAGAAAACTAGCGACGAAAAAATACTTTTAAAACCCTTTGTGGTCACCATATCCATCTTTCGCTTATTGTTGACGTCAGGCACCAGTACGTTCGTGTCACGTCGCATTTCATTCGGTCATTGCCTCTATGACGAGACCTGCGGCGTATGTGTTCCCATAGGTTTTTTAATAAAGCTGCACGTCACTGGTCGAAAACGTCGACGGTTTTTTCCCCCATTTGCGAATACGTGCTTAAGATCCCCCTCCCCCCCCACAACCACAACTTTAGATGTATTATCGTGCACGGTCGTCTATACGGTTACTGAGACGGCAGCATAATGATTGATCGGCTAACACTTGTAAGTTCTAATATTATACTGTGGGACGCGCAATGTTAGTGATAGTACACAACACGTGGGTAAACTCCTTTAATTACACATATCGATGAACAGTTTTTAATTGAAATACAATTTAACAATCCAGTTACAGCATTTGTATTATTATACGTACCGATATTTTATACAAGCCCATTTTACATTATTTACCTTCGTACAAAACACTTTTGTGTCATTAGTGCAATGTCGTAGTATTGTATAATGGCGAACCCTTCGGTTACGGTGAAAACCATTTTTACTACTAAAATACTAGGAAAACATTTTACACTCGTTCTCGGTAAAAACGACAATGCTTTCAATCATTTCGTTTGGATTCCAATGGTTTAATTGGATTGGCAAACTTTACGGTTGTCGACTATTGAATTTTCTAAAATTCAACGATAATAATTTAATCGGCGCCATTTAAATTCAAAAAATAACCTACCCTTTTAACGAGTATCTTGAAAGAGTCTGTCTTTCTGTCAATTTTGTCTAGGTCGTCCGTGCAACGTACGCGTTCTATAGATAATCGCTTATTTCAATTGTTTTTCAAATGTGCTTAATTTTTACAGAAGAACAATGAACGACGACGATATTGCAAAAGAGCAAGGGCAATGGGAAATCGTAGAATACGATTCCGAACAGACGCAACAGCCTCGCAGTGTCCAAGAGCAATCGCACTATCAAAAATATCAACAAGAACCACCGACTAGGCCAGTTGGTCATCAGGTTCACTACTCGGATCCAAATAAATGGAAGAAAAGATGTTTATATCTATTTTTATTCACGTTAATGTCAATAATCGTCATCAATCTGACATTAACGTTATGGTTCCTTAGAGTATTGCATTTCACCTCAGTAAGTTAATCGGTTTTTAATTAATGTAAAAAAAAAAAACCATAGCATAACGATGATCCAGCGCACAAAGAAGTAAGTGTAATTTTTTACAAAATTGAGTCAAGGCCTTGAATAAATGAAGGCAACTGAGTTCTCCCTAGTACACCGACATAATTAAGAAATTATATTAAAACTTATGGTGATGAAAATGATGTATCAAATGGAGCATCTGAAAAATCATCAAACATATACTTAATTCCGTGTGCGCTAGATCGTTGATGTCGTCATAATTGCAGTTAAAAATTATTCGTACGTGTGAACATGTCAGACATGATATTTTTCTAGTCGGTACCGCTGATCATAAAAAGTTGTCGGGACTCGCGCGAACAACGATTTATTTAAACACAGAACATGTTTGTAAAAGTAATTTTGTCTAGCTGCGTCATAACTATTGACAAGGTATAAGGTGTTTTACAACAAAACCGTCAAGTCGAATAACGATAATAATAACTTTCCTAAGAACGTTCAGATAATATATGTACGCGTTATAATCATGTTTTAAAGTATGTAGACCGTACGTTACTCGTACAGCGGCGAATAATTCCATACATAAAAGGTCGAAAACAACGTACCCGCGATCACAGGCGTGAGATTGACTAAGACAATGATAGGATAGAAGAAGACAGTGAGAATACTCGGAGGGAGCATCGTCGGTGGTGTAATATAACAATAATAATATAGCGCGTGCCACGAGGGGTTGCTATTTATCCTCTAAGTCGAGGCATGTGTTTGCCGTGTATACACGTTTGCTCCCAGCGACCATCTCTCCTACTCTGGTACGCACATCCCCAACCTGTCTGTTCACACGTTCGCATACTTTCATTGTGTTTCTCTGCCTTTCAGAACACATACCGCCGCTTTACTCATATATCGTGCCAAATTTTAATAAAAGTACAAAAAATGATTTACGATCGCATGTATCTACTATGTTTGTACCCGTCTAAGACAATAATGTTGTTAAAAGATCGTTTGATATTTATCGGCTGCGATAACGCCGCCCCATAAGTCAAAAAGAACCGATATTTAATCGTTCAGACACCAGTGTGCGTTCCTTTTAAGAAACTTTGAAGCGATTTGATTATTTTCTGTGTCGACGAGATTTGTTTTTCAATTTTCGAGTTGTATAATTAAGCAGTTGAAAAAAACCTGTATACTAATTAAATCATAATAATTAAATAAAATTACCAGAAAGTTTTATTTTGTTTTTTGGATGGCTTGTACACTACACATATTGCTCATATAATAGGACAGGGTTTCATCAGTGATTTCCGTTATAACTGTTAAAAATAATTGTGGTAGCTAATAAACTAAGTAGTTATAATTTTATTTTATTGGGTCGATATATATATTTATATTTTGTACATTCAGCAATCGATCTACTTTTCTAACTACAATAATGAAATTCTATATAATTGCAAATTTAATAAAATTATATTTATTTAAATTATTCTTAACGAATATTTTTTGTTGATCAAAAATTACAATCATTATACAATATAAATAACGATTTAACGCCAAATAGATATAAGCGAAAAAATTTTTAAAAAAATGTTACCCGCGTACATGTTTTAAATGTAATTTTTATCGTTAAAACACTTTTGTTATTCAAACAATGTCTTTATGTGTTTGTTCTTTTTCTTAACAAATAAATTTTGAAATAAAATTAAAGACAACACTGTAGATAGTTGGTTTGTATAAACACTTGAGTTTTTTCAGTTTCGAGTAAAACTATATTTAGGCCTCATATTGTACACGAATGGAAACCTGGCGATTGCTGTTGAACGATGAATAATGTTTGCGTTAGCTGTAAAAACGTTTAATTTTTTTAAAAGCCATAAAAGAAATTACATCTCCTAAATTAAATATTCAGTAGTTAGTTACAATTTATTGACTAATATATACCTTAAATTAATAGCTGTTTGTAATAATTAATTATTATTTGTTGTTCAAAATACAAATTTTAGCTAACGCATAATAATATTACCAATTCCAATAAAATGTTGATGTTAAAACTCTGTGAATATCGAATTGAACAATTTTATAGTACCTCATTTTTAAAACATTACATAATTTTTAAAGCTTTTATTGATTTGTGTTTTTATTTAAATTTGTCATTATCTATTAAATTTATTATCTATCTATTAATATTAGATTAATCAATAATTATTTGCTTTTCTTGTACTTAAAATTAACTGAAATTTGTCAAGATAAATGACTTAAGTTAACTTTTAAAAAATGGAAGTTAACACATTACTAAGGGTTTATTTGTCGATACTATTAGACTTTATTTTGCTAATAATACTTTCGAATAAAAATGTTAAAAACGTCGTTGATACTTTTATATTACTACTCTGGTCAAATAACGTTTCTAGGTAAAGTAAAATCTCTTCAAGCATTCATTCTATAATGGCTCTCATTAATACAAATCTATTTTGACAATAAGATGTTATTGTAGTTATTTTCTTTATAAAAACAATTATTGACAGACCGATTACGGCTAGCCATAACCATTACTTTATTATTTCATAAGCAGCTCATTATTCTTTCAGTAAGCTCAACAACTTTCACAAATTACAACTATTTAAAATATTGTTTATATATTAGCTTATATATATTTAATTCTAATGTTTAACACATTTTTCAAAAAAATGTTATCCATAATTTATAGAGCTTTCAACACCTTACTCAATTATTATTTATACAGCGCGGAATTATATGCATTTGTTTAAGGAACACTTTACTTTGAAGGGTCCCAAGTTTGTACAACATTGTCGTAGAAATATTTTTCATTTTAAGGAAAATTAACCCCCTAGCCCTTCCGCTCACTAATTAATTGCAATGGAATTAAATTTATGCTGAGTGTGTAAAAAACATAGTAAGAAATTTAGAAATAAATAAATAAGGATTTTCAGAAATAAATGGTTAAATTTGTTTAATAATAGAGAAAGATATTTTTTAGCTTCGATGCGAAGCTGAGAAGGTATTGGTTTTACTAAGATGTGTTTTTTTTTTTTTTTTTTTTTTTTTTTTTT